CTATCACTGGGGACGTGTGGCTTCCAAGATGACAGAAGCGCAGGCCAGACAACACGTCATTGACCATAGGCCCTGTTGTGGCCCGACCAGGAGGCCGGGCAACAACTAGAGGATTCATCCTGCGCTGCAAAGAAAAGTTGTGTGTCTGTCTGTGTGCTTGCATTGATGGCAGCGGGTCCTGCTAGATTGGAATGCGTCCGAGAGACTGTGTGTTTCTGCTTGGGGAAGACGGATTGCGAAAGCATGTTCGCATTTTCACACATGTGGAATTGGTCACGTGCAAGCACATGGACAATCATTTCGAGTGCCACAACCCGGAAGCCGCACAAACTAGCACATGTGGTTTGAAGCCGTGCGTGCTTGTGACTGAACAGTAGCCGTCCAGAGCAATGCATTTCGCCCCGATCGAACGAGGAGAGTGTTTCTTCAGAGGCGCGCTCTCCCCAATCTTGATCAAAACCGCTTGCGAAAAACTGGCCAAAGCGCCTCACCAGTGGAAACCAGCTGAGACATGGAATGAAGTTTATGACGACGTGCCTTGGCAAATCATGGTTCGCTACCTGCGTTACTGGCCACGTATTGGCTCCCGCATTACAGGAGGCCTCAGGCTTCTTCGACGGTACCAAGGCCCCTTCCCGAAGTGTTATCAGGTGGGTGAAGGAGAAGAACCGCTGGAGTTGCCGCGCGTTTCTCTCGTTTGTGATTTTGTTTATGTGTGGAACGACGAAGATGAACAACAACGGCAGTTTGTCCTTCAGATGAAACACCTCTCACTTGTTGCCATCCGTCTCGGTGGTCCGGGGGAACTTCCTGACCTTGATGCTGGAGCAATACCTTTGACCGACCAGCTTTGTGCAAAGTTGGGGTGGCAATAATTAATGGATCTTGATGCGGGAAGGCAGAGTGCCAGCAGCTGGGAAGGCAGAGTGCCAGACGTTGTCGCGTCACCCAGCTGTACCCTGCTTCGCCTGCACGTGATTCGCTTGACAGTGTGGTCAACGCAGAAAAGCGCAACATCCAGCAGTTCGTAGCCACTTCACGCGATTTGTGCATCCCTAATACTATCAAACCCTAAAACTATGGCACTCTGCCTTCTAGCCCCAAACCCTAAATACTAAAGACCCTGAAACTCTAACCCTAACCCTTTCATTACCCTCAAACCCTAACACTATGGCACTCTGCCTCCTAACCCCAAACCCTAAATATACTAAAGACCCTGAAACTCTAACCCTAACCCTTTCATTACCCTCAAACCCCTAATACTATGGCACTCTGCCTTCTAACCCCAAACCCTAAATATACTAAAGACCCTGAATCTCTAACCCTAACCCTTTCATTACCCTCAAACCCTAACACTATGGCACTCTGCCTGCTAACCCCAAACCCTAAATACTAAAGACCCTGAAACTCTAACCCTAACCCTTTCATTACCCTCAAACCCCTAATACTATGGCACTCTGCCTTCTAACCCCAAACCCTAAATATACTAAAGACCCTGAAACTCTAACCCTAACCCTTTCATTACCCTCAAACCCCTAATACTATGGCACTCTGCCTTCTAACCCCAAACCCTAAATACTAAAGACCCTGAAACTCTAACCCTAACCCTTTCATTACCCTCAAACCCCTAATACTATGGCACTCTGCCTTCTAACCCCAAACCCTAAATATAATAAAGACCCTGAAACTCTAACCCTAACCCTTTCATTACCCTCAAACCCCTAATACTATGGCACTCTGCCTTCTAACCCCAAACCCTAAATATAATAAAGACCCTGAAACTCTAACCCTAACCCTTTCATTACCCCCCCTAATACTATGGCACTCTGCCTTCTAACCCCAAACCCTAAAGACCCTGAAACTGTAAACCCTGTGCCAGGTCTTCTTCATCCTCGTCTTCTCGGAAAAAACATTAGTTTTTTTTGTTTTAAAGTTTTTAAAAATTTTTAAAAGTTGTTTAAAGTCTTTAAAAGTCTTTCAAATTCTTTTTAAAGTTTGTAAAAGCTTTTAAAAGCGTTTAAAAGTCTTTTAAAGTATTTTTAAAGCTTTTAAATGTATTTTAATGTTTTTAAAAGTCTTTTAAATATTTTAAAAGCCTTTTAAAGTTTTGAAAAGTCTTTTAAAGTTTGCAAAAGTCTTCTAAAAGTTTCTAAAAGTCTTTTAAAGTCTTCTAAAAGTTTTTAGAATGTTTTTTCTTGCATTTGAAAGTTTTTAAAAGTCTGTAAACGTCTTTAAAAGCCAACTCTGTCGAAAAAACCCTGTGGATCTAAACCTTGTGGTTCTGGTTCGGTGCAAAGGGGCAATGATTTAGGCTTTTGTAGTGTAGTTCTGCGGATTTAAGGTTGGGAAATGGCTTGGGCTGAATGGCCAGATGATAAATTTAAATGCGTGAAGTTCTCTTGCTCCTGCATCTTGAGAAGATACTCCACTTAAAAGTCAAGGTTACGGCATAGGATGTCGGCAACCACGCGGCAATCACTGCATCAAAGCTAAGCCCACCCCTGAAGCCTCAACCACATCACAGTTTGCCACGAAACCTACCACTACAAACCTAGACCCTCAGCCCTATCAAGCCTCCACATGAATCCTGAAGAGGGTTCTAGGCCAAACTTGTAGGGCTTGGGGTTTAGGGCCAATACCGCCAATCTTCGCAGAACTAAGAGTCTGCTTTGTAACTAACAGGTACAAGCCACCAATGACCCCACGAGGTGTCGGATAAGCTAGTAAGTTTGCCGGCTATTCGGGTTTAGAGCTTAGGCAAAATATGGCTCGGAGATTCCGGATCTCTGCATACATGCCAAACCCGAAAACAGCAGAAAACCCACAAGCTCTACTTCCCTGAGCTTCATGCCTTTCGGTCAGAAGCCCGGAAAGCAAAGTTCCACATCGAAAGCTGGCTGCATTGAAGCCCAAAATACGAAGCAAAAGGCACAACATTTGCCCGAGATCCCACTGATCATACCCTAAAGCCCAAACCCTAGTCCACCAAAGATCTAACCCCTAACCCTCAACACCCCTGCCTACTCCCTACAACCCGTGAAACCGAAAGCCGGCGCTTTATGGTTCAGGGTTTAGTTTTCAGGGTTTTCTCCAATCCATGAACAGCAACGCTAAGAGTCCGGCACCGAGCAATCACATATCGCACAAATACGAACCTGCAACGCTGTTATCTTAAACCCAGGTGCATATTTTTTGGGCCCTCAGGACCCGTAAAACCATATAACTCCCCTTTAATGCCCTTATTAGAACCGTTAAATAAGATTGTGTCTTCTTGAATCCGTAAGACCCTGGTAATTTCCTTGCTACAATAGGCCCCAAGAGAACCCTTCGTGGCATGGAGCCCCAAACTACTGGATCCCAAAACCCTAAACTCTAAACCCTAAACTCTTAAACCCTGAACCCCTAAACCCTGGACCCCCGACCCCCTTACCAGATCCTCTGGACCCCCCGGAACTCCTAACCCCCACCCTAAACCCTAAACACAAGAGTAACCTAGGAATGAAAAGCGTGCTTTTTTGGGCTTAAGAGGGGTTTGTAAGGGAAGTTGAACCCTAAAGGGCCTACTCTGGGTCCTAGAACCCGAAACCTTAGCGCAACAGAGAGGCTGCTTCTTCAGACCCTGCCAATCCCACCGGCCACTTCGGGGGGTCTTCTGCCACATGTCGAACCTCGGAGCAAAAGCCCACAGGGCAAAAAAAAAGGGCCCTTAATAATCAGAGTAAAGCTCCTTGAAAAGGGCTCTATACGGGTCTATATTGGGGGCCTTAATAATTTAGAATAGGGTTTGGGGGCCCATTACACTACAATCATAATGAGGGACCCCCCAAAATAGTATTGGTAATCATTTAGGCCCCTGTATCCTACTACCGTTATTGAATTTAATCAGGGGGTGAATAGGATATACAGGGTTTACTTCGCTGACTTCACTTGGAACTGGAACCTATGTACTTGTGACACAGGAACAAGGAATGCTCATACATACCATACAAGGGTTCAAGGTATACTAGCCTAATGGAATTAAGTCCTCTAATCCCATACTGGTTCTGGTTAACCTACGTAATTCCATAGTGGCAGTCGCATATTTGAACCCTGAGTACCACGGCGGAATAGCATGGGCTTGCATGCATATATGCCTGCTTGTCAGTCATTATGTGTCTGTTACGTATGTATGCTCATTGTGAGGCTACGGCTATGGACATGCACAAGTGCTTGTGTTTATGTGTAATGTAAGTGTATGTCAGGGCATGGGTATGTCGGTTTTATGTATTTATACCTACACACATACACTTATGTGTTTCTGATGCGTCGTACATCTGTTTGCCAATATATAAATACAAGCATGAGAGTATGTGTATATATATATATATAGATATATACACAATTACATATGCATACCTGTGTGTAGTTATTTACATACATCATGCATATGTATGGTGGCATGAAGGTATGAGTATCTGCATGTGCATCCGATGAGACATATTGTGCAATCACGCGGATCCAACACACCAGAGCTCTGCTTGATGCTTGTTGAGAATGCCGCAGGCATCCAACATCAAAGCCTGTTAAGGTTAACCGTCAATGCATTGCATCCTACGTCCTAAGCTGTAAGTAAGCGGCCATGAAATCTGCAGTCTGACTTGGACCTGGAATCCTGTTAAACTCACGGCTCAACGATGTCAATCGTGCCTGGCAGAGCAAAAAAACCCGACGGATCAAAGCTAACTCACCCATTCACTACCCAGAGGCCCCAAAGTGGTTCCTTTTTGGGAGTACCCTATAGGATTCCATATATGAACCCCAAAAAGGAACTAATTTGGGGCCGTTGGGTAGTTTCGGCTGCAAAGCTGGAGATCTGAAGCCTCAAAGCTACCAACGACTCTAAGCCTCGGCTCCAAACACGACCCGAAACAGACACCCCAACTAGGGTTTAGGGTTTAGGGTTTAGGGTTTAGGGTTTAGGGTTTAGGGTTTATGAAACCAAAGTACTGAAGCTATGGCCCTCTCAGCCCTGGTCCTCTGAGCCTGAATCGCCATCAGTTTCCGAAAATAGGGGACCCTAATATAGTGCCCTAAACAGGATCCTTACTATAAGGACCCCAATTTAAGGTGCCCCTAATTTCGGAAACCTCCAAATCGTGAAATTTGGCTGAGACTGAACAACACCCAATCCCGAAATAGAACTTTATTGCTTGCATTCCGAAACGCTAACCCTTGATGAAAGAACGCCATGGAACTCGCCGAAGATCCTCGGAACTCCCTAACCCTAAACCCCAAACCGTTCCAATTTTGGCACCGCGATGCTGGAGAATGCCTTTGCTGGCTGGACTTCCATGGTAGCTCCTGGGTTTGGGGTTTAAGGCTTTAGGGGTTTAGGGGTTTGAGGTTTAGGGGTTTAGGGTTTAGGCTTTAGGGGTTTAGGGGTTTAGGGTTTAGGCTTTAGGGGTTTAGGGGTTTAGGGTTTAGGGGTTTAGGGTTTAGGGGTTTAGGGGTTTAGGGTTTTGGGGTTTAGGGGTTTAGGCTTTAGGGGTTTGGGGGTTGGAGTTGAAACTTCAGGGGTTTGGAGGGTTATGCGGGGTCTGCATAGGTAGAGTTGGGTTTCGATCCATGTTGACAATAATCAAGAAACCCCAAGGAAAAATATGTCAACGTATGCAACGTCCTGACCTACTAAGCCCTGAAACCCTAAGACTGAAAGCCATAAGTAGTGGATGGAGACCAGGGATTCGGTCGTGAGGGGCTTGGGCTCAAGGTAATATAGGGGCCTCACTAATTAAAATATTGGGCTCCCTTAGAGTAAAGTTATAATAAGGAACCCAATAGGATAATATGGTAAACGCTACAAAGCCTAAACCCTACCTATGTCTATATTTCGAGTATAGAAGCCGAAATATAGTTACCTATGTTATTTTTTGGGTTCCCAATATTTCCACTATACTAAATTACCACATAAAGGGAACTCCAGAAAATACGGATTAATGGTAGGATACCCTATAATTTACCATAGAAGGGTTAGAATAATCATATTCCAACTTTCTGGCTTTTACCTTATTACCACTCTCCAAACCAAGATACTCGTAAGGCCCCTGGGCAGCCGCCAGCTCGCAGGAAGCCTGGAAGGACGGGGTGGGATCCCCAGGCCCAGGGCCTTGGTGGTTTAGGGCTTAGGGCTCGGTCCTTAGAGTCTTACGCTTAGAGTCTTAACGTTTAGGGTTTAGAGTTTTGTGGTGGTTTAGGGAAGTTTAAGGTTTAGAGCTGGGTCCGCAGTAAGACAGAGTCTTAGGGTGAAACACACCTGCTGATTTGCGCCAGAATGCCTCGCAAGCCGCGAAGTAGATGGTCTCAAAGATGTCCTGGTGAAAGTCTCACGTCTAACTCGGGCAGAAGGAAGAACAAAAGCCAGAATGGTCGGGTTTATCTGCGAACTCCAAACAGCGCATGTATGTATGTCAATGTATGTATGTATGCATGTGTGTGTATAGATATATGCATAAATATAAACAAACAAAATAAAATAAATAAATAAATAAATAAATAAACAAATAAACAAATAAACAAATAAATAAATATATATATATACATACACATTGAAATATATAATAATATATACACAAACAGATTCTATAATATCTCTCTCTCTCTCTCTATATATATATATATATATATTGAATTGTAATTTATGTTATATATCTATCTACCTACTGGTATGTACATGTATAGGCGTGTATCCAGAAAATTTTGGTGGTGGTGGGCATGAAAATGAAAGCCTCCTTGTGGCTCTTTTGGGAAGGCGGGTCCGGACGAGCCCCGGCGCCACAGCTGGTTCCAAAGGTACGTACACAGTATGTAGCTGAGTATCCGAAAGAAAAAGTTCGCGAGATTGACAAAGAGCTTGGTGAACTCTAGCATCCTACATAGCTCGGACAACACTGTGATTCTCACAAACATGTTATTCTGCCTCTTTCCTAAGACCTTATTCTTAGAATCGAAACTTTGCTTAAGGCGACCATGTCCGTTTTGTCACCTTTGGAGTTTGCGCTTGCTTACGATGGACTAGATCTATGTCCTCGAGTTTCCAGTGGGTCTGCTGTGGATTTTTGTTTCAGGGGTATCGAGTGCGCCCCCTGATTATTAGAGTACTTTTTGATTCATATTCCTAGTAATCAATGTTACCAATCATTCCGACCCCTGCAGTATACAAGTCCTCTATTACAAGACCCCTGACAGGATAAAGCTCCTAAAATAAGCAGCCTTATAACCTCCAGATAGAACCCTGATAACTTATAACTCCTATAAGCAGCCTTATAACCTGAAATAAGCAGCCTTATATCCTGAAAGAAGCAGCCTCATAACCTGTAGAACCCAATAACTTGTAATTCAGTACCACTATGGGCTATTAGACCCTAAAGATCCCTATTAGGACCCTATTAAGGGTAGATTAAGGTACCCATAAGGTCTAATAGCCCATAGTGGTACACGCAGATCATCTTGAACCCCTTTGTGCCTCATTGAGACGTTTCGCCTCCTCCTGGGTGCAGGACGTAAGCTTGGGACTCCGGGGCTTTTGGGGTTCTATGGCGGTTTAGGTCGGGTTTTGAGGTTTAGGGTTTAGGGTTTTGGGGTTTAGGGTTTTAGGGTTTTGTGGTTTAGGGTTTTAGGGTTTTGTGGTTTAGGGTTTTGGGGTTTAGGGTTTTAGGGTTTTAGGGTTTTGGGGTTCAGGGTTTTGGGGTTTAGTGGGGTTTAGGGGTGTAGGGTACAGTCCAGGGCCTGAGGGCTTGTAAAGGCTCAGGGCCCCCCCCCCCCCCCAATAGATTGAGCGAGTTCATGCGGAAAGGCTTTTGCTGCTCAGGGTTGGTTGAAATCGGGATAAGGTGCGTGGAAGTTTCGCGCTCCGCCGAGTCCATCGGCCTTCAAGGTTCGCATCTCTGGACTTCGTCTTCGAATGTCGAGATCAGCAAATACTAAGGGCTGCAGTGGAATCGCAATCTGGAGTGCTAAGAAGGAACAAGAGTGGCACGTCCTCTTCGAATGGTAGGCGAAGAAGGTGGGGGGTAATGACACTGATGGTGGCAGCAATGTTTGTGATTCTGGCCATCTTGGTGATGACCGCACAGACGCGAATGACGATGCTGACAGTCATGTTGATTTCGATCATGATAAAAGGCAGTGGTAACGGTGGTGATGGTTGTGAAGGTGTCGGTGGCGATGATGACAACCTAACCTTCTGATGGTGATCATCTAGCTATCGTATTGCCCATAGTACTGCGTTTACAGTTCTTGCGAGAACTTCAGCAGCTCTCATGGCCCTCATTGACCTTACCAGTGCTACTGCAAAAGCCATGGTCCTAGCATTGCGGAATTTCTGGCTATCTAGTCTCGTTTCTGATGCAGGCCTGTTGTCGCTGTACAAAGCATGCAAGGCATGCTAGCATACGGTGCTGAAGTATTGCTGCGACCCCGACTTCTGTCAGCACTAACTACCGCCATGAGGATATATGCAACCTTGAACCGCTTGGATCCACTTCACACTGTCGAATCTTGCATTATTGCTTTTCACTGCCTACGAGCATGGGCACCATAGTTTACCATGTTGGTCATTATGAGGGCGTGACAAAACACACTGCTTACAAAGCCCGCCGCCCGAAACCCAAATCCCAAGCACCTCAGACTCCTCCTGAACTAAGAAACCCAAAAACATCAAATCTAAGTAGAAGGCTCTAAACCCTAAGCTCCATGCCCTATAGATCCAAGCAGAAGCTCTAAACTCTGACCACAGCCCCAGCGACCTAGCGTAGACCGGAAACCCTACACCTCTTGACACCTCTTGATCTTGGTGCAGAGTGGCGCTCTCGAAGGGAAGTTTCATCATCCTTGTGAGTGAGGCAAAAGTGTGAGTTGGTTTGACTACCTTTAGCTACCATACTCTGTTTGTTGTAGGTTCTTGCTATGGGCCCTGCTAGGGAATTTATGGGGACCCTGCAAGATAGTAGGCGTTGGTCGTCCAAGGTAGTAACTGCTAGTATTGTTATTGTATTCTGCATTCTTGCGGATCAAATAATAGCTCCCTGACACGTTTCCGGATCCGCTGTGATAGTGAGTGACAGCGTGACCCTTATGCCTTATTCCTAAACCGAGATCTCTAGTGTCTTTCATGGTCATTTCCTTGGTCGAGCACAGGAAAGCCTTCATATTGAGTGGCCCAAGCTGATGCATGGGACATTGTTTGCTTCTACAGGAGCTTCTTGTTTTAATGGGCCCTTTTCCTACAAGAAGCTTTGGGGTTCAGGCAAAGTGCAGACTTTCAAGGTCGCAGCCAAGTAGTTTCTGTCCCTGCTACAGTACTTCGAGCTGCAAGGGTTCCCCAACACCCCCTCAAAAAGCTGCAACACACCAGCAGCTCCTTGCGGCCCGGTGGCAGGAAGGCGTCAGCGAGGCCCTGTACGCCAAGACCAACGGGACGGTGGCGCATATTCGAGTTCCGGGCTGCCTCAACCTGAAAAGATTGGGAATCCAGCGTCTAGATTGCACCCATAGGCTCCATACTAGTTCCTTTTTGGGGGTTCATATGTAGTAGCCTAAACTGCTAAAAGGTAATCTCAAAAAGGACCTACTATGGGGCCTATGGGTAGGGTCCTTGGGTAGTAATTAGGTGGTATAGGATCGAGGGTGTAGGGATGTTTAGGGCTCAGGCACCGGCGAGCCGAGGTATCTGATGAGGTGGTTTGGGGATTCGTGAGTGGGTTTACTTGGAGATTCAGGGTAGTTATAAGTGGGGCTATAAGCCCCCCAATTAGGGTTATAAGTATAGTTACCCGAGTTATAACCCTGCTTATAACTACCCATGAACCTCCAAGTAGGGCTAAGGGTTCAGGGTTGGGGGTTTAGGGTTCAGGGAGTCAAGGGATTTGGCACTTCAGGAGTTTGGAGCTTCGATTCAGAGGCGCTTGGTGGCTCATGGCTTCTGACGGTCTTTGTAAGGAAGTGCTGGTTTGGGGGACATCCGCCGATTTGTGTTCAGCAGGAAGGATCTGTCCCGCAAAGTGATTGCATGACCGTAAGAGCAATCTCAGGAAGACTCAGGAAAACAAGTCTCCGTCCATCCAAGGCGCTGGATAGTAGTTGCGATCAATCACCTTGTTCAGGTTCTTCGTGACAACCTCGATGGTCCCACACATGAAATCCCCAAAAACCGTGAGTCCTTTGCATCCCGGCTTGCAATCAAATGAAACACGATCGCCAATGTAAATCTCAGGGTTCTTGACGGTGTCACAGACTTCTGCTAAGTCGATGAAGAAGACCCCCAACCTAAACATATAAAACCTATTACGAATGGCAAAAGAGCCCAAAAGCTCTGTCCGACAATTTTCAGAGTCCGAAGCTTTGTGGACCTTGTTTTGTTAGGGGTCCACGGCATGTGTCCATCGTACACATGCATGGGTGTGGACATACACAGTCCCGCACAATTGTAAACATGTGTATACGCAAATGTAGCAATGTATATATATATATATACACACACACCAGAATATACACATTCGCATACATATGTGTGTGTATATATATATATATATATATGCACACATATATATATATATATATATGCTCACCCCCCCCCCCCCATGACAGACCGTCGTGGGGAAGGGGAAGGGTGGCGTGCGTCCCCAGGCAGGATCTGTCAACAGATAGGCGACAGACACTTGACACTTCTCCCAAACTCAATTCCAAAATGTTCTTTTAGATGGTTTGCAATTTTTGGAAATTTCTTCACACGTATGCAGCGCTCCTAGTCCCAATCTTAGTCTCAATTCTGCTCTTCGTACCACTATTACTGTTTGTAGATCTTAATTCTTGTATCAGTGTTAGCATTAGTATTAGTTTTGTGGTAGTATTGATATTAGGATGTTTAGTATGAGTAATAGTATTCGAATTAGTATTACTCTTAGTATTAGCATTAAGTATGTGTATTGATGTTAATAGTAGTAGTCGTCGTACTAGCAATAGTTGTCGCACAGCAGTAGTAGTGGTAGCATTAGTATTGGTATTGGTATTAGTATTAGAATGAGTATTAGTATTAGTATTAGTGACTAGTATGAGTATCAGTATTAGTTTTAATATTAAGTATGTGTACTAGTAGTAGTAGTAGTAGTAGTAGTAGTAGTAGTCGTAGTAGTAGCAGTAGTAGTAGCAGCAGTAGTGGTGACATTAGTATTGGTATGAGTATGAGTATTAGAATTAGTAGCTAGTATTAGTACTAGTATTAGTGTTAGGATTAATATGTATTGTTCTTGGTTCTATTCTTAGTACTGCTGTCATTGTTTGTAGTAGTCCTAATCCTGGTATCAGTGTTCATATGAGTAATAGTTTTGTGGTAGTATTGATATTAGGATGGGTATTGCTTTAGTACTAGTATTGGTATTGGTATTTAGTATTAGTATTAGCATCAGTATTAGTATTAGTATTGAATAAAAGTATACATATCAATAATAGTAAATATGAACTCGTGATTATGTTCGTGCTGGTGTTAGTGCCAGTGTCGATGTCAATGTCAGTAATAGTACTCGTGTTAGTATTAGTATCAGTCTGAATGCTGGTTTTAGTATCTGTTTATTATTCACAGAAGTGCTGGTATTAGTATCAGTATTAGAAATAGTTTTGATATGTGAATATACTGATTGATTCGTACATTTTGAGCTTAATATAATAATACAGTAATGTATTCGAACAATAGTATATTTGCAGAGTTGAAGATTGCGCGAATATATTAGTACGTTGGTGCATGAGTACATTAGTATATTGGTGTATCATGATATTCGTATGTTAACGTAGTAGTATATTAGTATATTATTATAGTGGTCTATTACTACATTTACTATATTCGTATTTTCCCTAATAGCTTATAGGTATATCAATATGTTGGCATAATGGCATGTGAACATGTCAGTGTACTTGCCTTTTACAGTATTCGTATATTAGTACACTAGCATATTTAGTGATAATTAGTGTTAATGCCAGTGCCAATGTCGATGTCAGTTTTAATCAGTCTTAATGATGAATTTAACATCAGTGTAATATTCGCGGACGTGCTAGTATGCGTATCAATACTATAATTAGTTTTGATATATTAGTATACTGATAGATTATATAAACAGCTTAGTATACCAACACATTATAATGTATTCGAACAGTAATATGTTTGTATACCTGCATGTTTGTATGCTCTTAGTATATTAATGCATGCGTACGTTCGTGCATGAGTACATTAGTATATTGGTGTGCTATTATCTTCGATTATTAACATATTAGTGTATGAGTATCCTGGTATGCTACTTCATTTATCATATTCGTATATTATCTAACAACTTTTTTGGTATATCCATATGTTAGTATACCATTGCCATGTGTCAGTGTACTTGCATATTACAGTATTCGTGTCTTAGCAAGTTAGCATATCAATACAGTATAATCAGACGTTAACAAGTAGTATATTGTCACGTTGGAAACTGGGTATATGACAAATTAAATACGAATATACTACGTTAGTACACGAATGCATTGATATATTTGCTTTTCAGATAGTGGTATGTATATCTGCGGACATTAATATACGCAGGTGTCTGTTAGTATTGGCATTAATATCAATATGAATATGACTATTGGTAGGCGTAGGAGTATTAATGTTAATAATAGAATTAGTAATGTGCATATTCGAAATGAAAGCATTAATATACATGTCAACGTTAGTGTTAAAAGCACTACACAGTAATCTTACTTGAGTCATATATAGAGCAGATTCCAGCATTTCCAAAATTTCCAAAATTTCCAAAATTCTCTCCCCTAACTTTCCGGATTTCCAAAATTTCCAAAATTTCGAAAATTTCCAAAATTTCCAAAATTTCCAAAAAGTCCGCCCTTATGTTTTGGAAAAATCCTGTCGACTAGGTCGGGAAATTTTGGAAATTTTGGAAATTTTAGAAATTTTGGAAATTTTGGAAATTTTGGAAATTTTGGAAATCTGGAAAGTTAGGGGAGAGAATTTTGGAAATTTTGGAAATTTTGGAATCTGCTCTATATATGACTCAAGTAAGATTACTGTGTAGTGTTTACTATGTAGTGTGTCAGCACAACCCTCATCCATACACGTGTGCTCTGTAATTCCTTTCTTGGTAGGACACCCGCGCGCCTTATCGTGCTGCTTTCTGGTCTCAGTCTTTTGGTGGTTCCAGGGATACGTTCGGAGGGCTCAAACTCGATACTCCGGAAAAAACACGAACACGCCGGTGGGAGCGATGTTTTAAAGGGGATGGTCTGTCAAGGGGGGGGGGTGACCATATATATATATATATATATATATATATATATCGGTTTGCGTATGTAACTCGTGCATGTACATGTATGGACATATTTCAACTACTGTATACATGTTAGGGGCACTGTGATACATTGCAGGTGGAGCCTTCAAGCGGCCTTAGGGCGAACCCCACGCCGTGTCTACGAGTTAAGCTTGGATCTTACTTAGACTGTCATTCCTTTGTGTCGCGTTTAGCTTCCCTGTTACAGATCTAAGGCGAAAAACTTGGCTGGGTGCAGAAACGGGCTGCAACCAACAAAATCCCGCACGACAATCCACGAAACCCCTTAAACCCTACACTTCTCTCATCCAGCCCCCAATGCCTGTAATACCTAGTCCCTAAATCCCGCATGCGGAATACCGGAATGGCGCGCCTTTGTGACTTCGTAGAGCTTCTGGAAGTCGTAGGGCGCGCCCTTCGATTATCGGCACTGGGGCTTGGGGCTTAAAGCACTCAAGAACACTATCGAAGCCCGTGGCACTATCGAAGCCTGTGGCCTTAGAGTTTAGGACACAGTTAGTCATCATGCCAGCCCTTGGCCGCCTTTGGGGGGGGCAATTTTGCGTAGGCTTTATGGGCTTGATGGGAGTTTCCGAACATAGGGGACCCTAATATAGTACCTTAGATAGTAGGATCCTTATTATGACGACCCAAATTAATGTACCCCTAATTTTCGGAAACTCCCGCATAGGCCTTACGGAGTTTAGGGTTTGGGGCTTCTGGGATCATAGGGTTTAGAAGTTTTCACAAGGAAAACCGGACCTTGCAGGGCTGATAAGGCTGTAGGGCTTTGAGTGCACGACGGCCGCGGTACTTGCCCACCAACTCGATAATATAGGAGCCTTAAAAACTACCGACACTATTTTTGGGGGCTGTTATTAAAGTTCATAGTTACAGTAGAACCCGCCAAAAAAACATATTCAAAATAAGGCCCCTACATTCATCTACTTGGTTTAGGCCCTGGGGTTCACAGCCTAGGCCGAACTCCGAAACCCGATATCCTTAGCCCTAGGGCTCTAGACATCCGAAATCTAAAGCCATAAACCACCAAGGTTCCATGTTTCCCCAAACCCTAAAGCCTTAAACTCTAACCGAAAAAACGCCAGACTCCTAGACCACCCCAACTGTCCTCGATTATGCCATAAATACCCACTATTTCACTATGAAGCACCAGATGGGCTCTATTAAAGGGTACTTGGGGAGTCCTTGATTGTTCCTAACTACCTATAGTCTCCATCGTATATAGTTCCTTTGAATGGTTAACCAAAATCCCCCATTACAGGACCCTAACCCCTAAAACTGGTTAACCAAAAAAGGGAACTACCACGGAGACTCTAGGAAGCCATAAACCTTAAACCCTAGATACTTTAGATAGTAGTTCTTTTTTGGCGTTCATATGTAGAATCCTATAAGGTAATCCCGAAAAGGAACTACCAAACCCTAAACCCTATAGGTACTTTAGATCCCCCGGAGCCCGAGCACTGCTCTGGCTAGGGCCCCAAAAAAGCACATAAGCAAAAATTAGGGTAGGGATATCTCATATAAATCCCCTCATAATGAAGCCCAATAAGGTATATGGATATATCCCCATAAGATGCTTCTGCTTCGGTGCTTTTTTGGTCCCTAAAATGCCTCGGAGTTCGCGAAGCACGGGAGCGAGATGGACGCAAGATTGCAGACGGCAACCTGGGTACGGTTCAGGGGGGCTTTTCAGCTTTCTAGGGCTTAGTGGTTTAGGGTTTAGGGTTTAGGGTTTAGGGGTTTAGGGTTTAGGGTTTAGGGTTTAGGGTTTAGGGGTTTAGGGTTTGGGGTTTAGGGTTTCGGGTTCAGGACTTGGGGTTTGGGCCATGTAGGACACCAAGCTGAGGATGATTTACAGCTCTTGCTCTGCTTGGGTTGCAGTCGTGTCTGGTCTGCACTCCGAGGTTATGACGAAAAAACTTCAAGGCGACGGCCGTTGAAACAGAATTTCGAGCCTAAGCTATGAGCCCGAGGCCTTAAGCTCTGCAGCCTGAACACTACGGCTTAGGGTTTATGAGTTTTCGGATTCGGGGCCTCGGATGGGTACTGAATCATGAACCTTTGTAAGAACACATATAGTAAGAACCCCAAAGTCCTGAACCCTGAACCTTCATAATTAGAATATCCTTATAGTACGAACCCCAAACCCTAAAACTTATGCTGCTTGGCCGCTTCGTCCTCGGCAGTGTACTCGATGATCTCTGTGCAAAGGTTCCTCGTTGGCTTCTGTGCCACTAGCCCTTTCAGGAGCCCTTACACGAACCCTTAAGGGAACCATTCAGTATCGTTTTTTTGATTGGGTTGTCCATCTCCTGGGACCTTTATAGGAAAAAGAGCACAGGTCTAACCTAGAATTGAAACCATCAACTTGTCAAGGCTCGAGCAGTGGATGGTTCCCAAGTTCTGCTGGTTGCTCTTCCGGTTCGCGGCATCCTCTGTCAAGGGTTTTGGGTTTAGGGTATTGAGTAGGTCTTCGGGAAAGGAAGCTCAAAGGAAAGAAGGCTCAAGACAGCCGGACAAACCTGACAAAAACCCGCCCTGGAAACGCGAGTAGCTGCCCAGTAGCACAAGACTGTCATACACAATACACGCACATTTTCTACATATGTATATATATGTATACATATATATATATATATACATATACATATGTATATATATATATATATATATGAGAGAGGCTCCTTTAGGGTATATTTAACGCCCTCCTTGGCCTATATATTTCATTATTTTAGTTATTTGGAGGCACCAAGAATTAAAATAATTAAAATATTTGAATAGATATCAGTAGAACCCAATCCCAGGGATTTGAAATATTTAAAATAATTAAAATAATTGAAATAATTGAAATAATTAAAATAATTAAAATCAGCTTATTTTAATTATTTTAATCATTTAAAGGCCCCGAGAATTGAAATAATTAAAATAATTAAAATACCACCCATTTTAATTATTTTAATTATTCAAAATACCTGGAACAGGGATCTAGGGTCTAGGAATGGAAGGTATTTTAATTATTTTAATTATTTGAAGGCACCAAGAATTGAAATAACTAAAATAATTAAAATAATTGAATAGATATCAGTAGAACCCAATCCCAGGGATTTGAAATATTTAAAGTAATTTAAATAATTGAAATAATTAAAATAATTAAAATCCGCTTATTTTAATTATTTTAAATATTTAAAGGCCCCGAGAATTGAAATAATTAAAATAATTAAAATACCACCCATTTTAATTATTTTAATTATTTTAGTTATTTAAATGCCCCGAGAATTGAAATAACTAAAATACCCGTCACCCCACCCCCCCACCCAACTCCACCCCCCCCCCTTCCCCCAATCCTCCGTCCCCTGCTGCCCACTCACCCCCATACCTCCGTCCTCAACTCCAACCCAACTCCACCCCCCCTCCCCCAATCACCCTCCTCCGTTACCCCTCCTGCTGCATGCCCCACCCGTCCCTTCCCCAACCCCCACCCTCCTCTCCACCCCTCCACCCTCCCACCCACTCCACCCCCCACTCCACTCCTCCAGCAAATGTGTGAAATCCCTAGCCTGTGTTTTCACTCGGTATTTGCAGGTGTTTTGCTCGACCACAGATCACTTCCGCCAGATTTTGCCAGCGATGTGTGAAATCCCTAGCCCTTGCTTTAACGCGGTATTTACAGGTGTTTTGCTCGACCACAGATCACTTCCGCCAGATTTTGCCAGCGATGTGTGAAATCCCTAGCCCTTGCTTTAACGCGGTATTTACAGGTGTTTTGCTCGACCACAAATCACTTCCGCCAGATTTTGCCAGCGATGTGTGAAATCCCTAGCCCTTGTTTTAACGCGGTATTTACAGGTGTTTTGCTCGACGACAAATCACTTCCGCCAGATTTTGCCAGCGATGTGTGAAATCCCTAGCCCTTGTTTTAACGTGGTATTTACAGGTGTTTTGCTCGACCACAGATCACTTCCGCCAGATTTTGCCACCAGATGTGTGAAATCCCTGGCCCTTTGTTTAATGCGGTATTTACAGGTTTTTTGCTCGGCGGCGGATCACTGATCCCTGGCCGTTTTTTGAACGCGGCATTTACAGGCTTTCTGCTCGGTCGCGGCTCGCAGGGATTATACACCCGTGCCCCCACTCCACCCTCCTGCCCCCTTCATACCTCACTACCCACCCCCCTATCTCAGCCTTGCCTCGTACCCCATCACCACCCACCACCCACCACCTATTATCCACCACCCGGCACCCCTCACCCGCCACGCCCACCACCCACACCCTCCCCACCAACCACCACACACCACCCACCACACACCACCCACCACACCACCCATCACCCACCACCCACCACCCACCACTACCCAGCACCCGCCAGCCACCACTACCCACTACCCACCACCTACTCCTCCCCATCATCGTTATCACCATCCTATTATCATTTATCATCGGTTTATCACCTTTATCACCCACTCCCCCAAACCCACCCCTCACCACGCCAGCACAAACCCCCTGCCCATTCACATCCCTCCCCCACCCCACCCACTACCCCCACCCCCACCACGAACCCATTAGGGTCCAACAGGGCTGCGGACACCCCCCCCCCTCTCCATCATCTTCATCATCTTCATCATCTGCATCATCTTCATCATCTTCATCATCTCCATCATCTTCATCATCTCCATCATCTTCATCATCTTCTTCATCGTCATCATCTTCGTTGCCGGTTTCATTGGTTTTAATACCGCTCCCTCTATTCTTAAAGGTAATTTCATAGGTATTGTACGAACCATAATACAATCGATTTATCTTAACCACCATATCAAGAATAGCTTACCACATCGCATCTACATACTTTGTAACCGGGCTTACTATAAAGGCCCCATATGAGGGATCCATAATGGGTTTCTAGAAAGTCTCTCTGTAAGGGATCTATAGTTTTGTATATAATGGGTTTCTATAAGGTCTCTACATAGAGGATCTATAAGATTTCTATAAGCAATCTGTAAGGGTTTTCCAAAAGGGCTCCATACGAGGGATCTATACAGGGCTTCCATGTGGTTTATACAAAAGGTAAGGAATATATAGCAGTTGTCTATGAAAGCTCCATGTAAGGGATCTTGTAAAGTTTTCTACAAAGAATTCCATTTGTTGATCTATACGGGGTGTCTATAAGTTCTCTATATAGGGGATCTATAAAGTTTCTATACGAATCTATAAAGGCTGTCTATGAGGGCTCCATACAAGGGATCTGTGAAGGGATCTATAGGGATTTTTTCATGGGAATGTATACCTTCGATACGGATAATTGCGCCTTTGTTAAGATCGTGAAGACTATTAACTACGTGATATCCTTCTTGGCTAATGCTGTGATCACATCAGATCTGATATGTATAGAGATACATTGGAAGGCACATGGGAAAACAAACTGACACATTACAGGCCTTCTAATGTGTCATTATTCCTATTGAAACCCTAAAGGCAAGGAACTTATACACTGTAGGGCATCTGTATATTGGAAGGTCTCTGGGTAGTATAAATTGGCGCCTCTATCATTACATACCGTAATGATAGAGCACAATGCAGTATAATGTAAGATCTTATCGCGCCGTGTAGTTTTTCATAGAATAGGATATACTACGTCGTTGCACCACTCACAATTAGAATGAAAGCAGTATTATGACACAAAGACATTGAACCTACCGTATCCTGACATTGTTTGCAGAGCCATGCCGTCCAAAGACAAGAAGCGACGTCAGCGAGCGGTGAAACGTTGGCGTGTTTTGCACAACCCTCGCGACCATCTAAAAGCTCTCACAGAAGTCGTGCACTCTTACACTAAGATCCGCAAATTGGTACAGGCGTCTCGTGCTGCCAAACACCGCAGAGCTCAATTGTTGGCCATTTTGTTGAAGAGCTGCAGTTGGCGAGACATGGTGGTATTGCGGCAAGTTGCATCGAGGTTACAGCAAGCAAAGCGCCGTCTCCAGCCATGGGGCAATGCGTCAAAAAAGGACGATGCTATGTACAAAAGGCTGCTGTCTTCTGTTACAATCAAGAAGAAACCGGACATGCGTGGCGTCGACAATTTTGTCCGTGAATCGTTTCGCTGCAGGGCTATTTGCGTCATTTCGTCGAGATTCGGGAAGCGGGGCGTTTTGCCAGAACAGCCGGTATCGATGGAATTATTACCTTATCGGGTTTATGGCTACAGCAACAGCAGCGCATGCGTGGCAAAGCATCGGCGTTGGTGCCAAGAGTACCGTGATTGGGTCCCGCTACCTACACTGGTTCCGTACAAGCGACAACTCACAGAAGCTATGTTGAAAGAGCGGTGTTCGGTTGGGCCATTTGTGCGACTACAAATTCTCACTGATCTGTGCCATCGCTGCGGAAGCAAATGGGCGGAGTTGCCAACAACATCTTTAGGCACTGGAGTGAAATTCGGCAGAGGCATCATGGGCATCGCAGAAATTGCACAATTACGAGTCTTGTTAAATCAACGCAGGCAGTTCCGGGAAATTTGGGGTTCCGCAATTTCTTTACACGAAACCGGCCACTTGGTTTGCGAAACTCGCCAACACGTTTGGCAGAACATGCGGGCGAGCAGAGTTGCGAACTTCATTGACAAAGTCTTGACAGCGGGCATTGCAGAGACGGAAGACAAGTTTCACAATCTAGCACGCAAGCGAAAGTTTTGCGATATCATCGCGGGATACGCCTGTAAAAATGAAGTGGTCGTAATGTCTCGGGAAGCTGGGTGTGAATCATATACTTATTTGAGAGTTGCCAAGCGTTGTCTCAACCCTGAGCCCTTGAGCAGAAACCCTACCTGCAACCCGGAATAGTCATGTTAAGTATTGCCTATATTGCTCTCTTAATTATGTACAACCCAAACTAAACATGTTAAATATTGCTTACATACCTTTCGCACTTCGAACCCGAAATACACATGTGAAGTATTGCCTATTGCCTTTGCTACTCACAGCCCGAAATAATGATGTTAAGTATTGCCTGCATGCTGTTCGCGCCTACATGCGTTCTTACCTGCATGCTTTTCGCACGTAGAAACAGAAATAATCATGTTAAGTAGTGTCTACATACCTTGTGTGCTCACAACTCGAAACAACCATGTTAAGCATTGCGGACATGTCATTTCACAACCTGCAAAGGCTTGTAACAAACATATGACCTTGAGTTCTAAAGATTCATTTCCAGTATCTTCCCTAAACCCAAATTGCAGCTGAGAGCCTCAGCCCCAGCACCCCCAACCCACCCCACACCCGCCACAACCCCACCCCCACCCCCGCGCCCCTGGGCAGGGCCTGCGCTTGGCTCTCTGCCTCCCCTATGTGTGCCCAGGTTATAGGTGATACTTAGTCTTATTATTTTACTTTCAGGGGTTCTAGGCAAGGTTTCATGGCAATAGTAGCAACAGGGTTATAGGCAATACTTAGCATGATTATTGTTGCTTTTATAGTTGCAAGCCGGGTTTATTATGATTAAACACAGGGCTACAGGCAATACTTAACATGATTATGGGTGTTTGTAAGGGTTGTTCTCTTACTTTGCTCGGAATAGTAATACAGAAGCCACAGGCGGTATAATTAGCAGTGACATCGGCCTACTAGGATTATCGAAGTTTTACCGATTATAGATTGTGTTTAAAAGGAATCTTGCCAACAGGAACACAGTCAATACATAAGGTGTAGGATTATTGGTTTTCTGGATTCTAACACGTGTCTCCTGGGGTTCTTGGTGAATACATAGTTGTAGTAGTAGTAGTAGTAGTAGTAGTAGTAGTAGTAGTAGTAGTAGTAGTAGTAGTAGTAGTTGTAGTAGTAGTAGTATTAGTAGTAGTAGTAGTAGTAGTAGTAGTAGTAGTAGTAGTAGTAGTAGTAGTAGTAGTAGGAGTAACACAATGACGACCTATATCAAATTTAAACAGCTGTACAACAATGTCATTACAATTGACAAACTCTGCATTAAGTTATATGTCCGAATCAGGGTGAAACTTTCCGGGTATCGGTTTGTAGAATTCACGATATGGCTAGATATCATTTAGCTAGGCGTTTGATATTGTATATAAAGAAAGCTAGCTAAATAGACCCTAAAGGTATCGGGCTCATATATATATATATATATATATATGCACACGGTAAGAGACTGAATCTAAAATGAACGCAAGTGCAAATACAACCAACCCAAACGTGCCTCTGTTTACATATAAATATAGTACAAAGCTGTACTGTTATAATATAGTATATGCAAACATGCAAATACAGGCATGGATGCAGACAGACAGAAGGATAAGCAACAAAAAACGGAACACGAAGGCAGGCCGGCAGGCAGGACGAGACATGCGTTTGTCGCGCAACTTATGCGACTTAAACTTGGTGTCAGCCCCTTTGCCTGCAGGCAACAAGCATGAAGGACTCACAAGCATCTTTGATGCTGCAGGACCGCAAGACCCTGTAAGCACCACATCGCCCAACAGACAGGCAGGAAACGTACTGGGGGAAATCCAAGCTCCTTGTCCGGTGAGATATACCTCTGTCATGAGTTGAGCGGACGACTCTACATTGAAATTCATGTATAACAGTCCCGAACGAGCATTCGTCGCGGCAGCCAAGTCCAGGGAAGAGGTGAAGTTCGCAGATCCGTTCTTAAGCTTGTCCTGACGCCTCTTGGCCCCAAATCGTTAAACTGGGGGGTGGGGGGGCTGCATTTTACTACAGTACACCTGATGCCAACATTACATTGAAACAACGTCACTGCACTCCCCATGCTGATATCGCAAGCTGAAATTACATGCTCAGAACAGGTTCTCTAAACCGACACCACAATCAACAACAAGACCATGATCAACAGACCTCTAAATCTTAGACCCTCAGCTCAAGTTAAGCAATGATCTTCAACCCCCTAAACCCCTGAAGAAACATCAAGGTCGTGGATTTAGCCTTAGCTGGACGCCTTGTAGAGCATGTAGGGTGTGCCCGTCTCCATCTGAGACTCGAGGATTCGAAACCAAAGGTGCTGAGCCTGATCTGGGCTTCGTGATGAGTTTACCTATAGACCCCATGGTAGTTCCCTTTTGGGATTACCTTATAGGGCTCTACATATGAAGCCCAAAAAGGAAGTACTATCTAAAGTACCTAGGGCTTAGGGTTTATGGTTTGGGCTTCCTAGAGTCTCCATTGTAGTTCCTTTTTGGTTAACTAGTTTTAGGGTTAGGATCCTATAGTAGAGATTTTGGTTAACCAAAAAAGGAACTCCAATGGAGACTATAGGTAAGATGCCGGGCTAAGGAGCTACAACGGCTAGAAATTACAACGCTCAGCGTTTCGGGTTCGCCCTCGACCCCGAACCCTAAACCGTGCTTTCTTCAAGGCTCAACATAGACCATGGCTACAAGCGTCAGATCAAAGAAGCTCGCATGTCGCATACCGAAAGAACTGCATCAGTGGAGCCTTCGCCAACAGTGAGCAGGGGTCCGGGATTAGGGTTCAGGGCTCTATCCTCAAGTTTAAGGAGTTAAAGCCAGAGCCCAGCTCCTAATCCATACACACAGAGACCTTTTGCGGGCTACGGCTTGTGGGCACCTTGTGCAAATTCCTTAGCCGCTTGCCAAAGCCATGGCCTCGACTTGCGTAGCATCCGACCATCCTAAGCCCTGCAAACAAACCCTAAACCCTACCCTAGACCCCTGAACCCTAAAGCCTCTAAATCCTAAACCCCTAAGCCCTAAAACCTCTAAACCCTAAACCCCTAAATCCTGAAGCTCCTGTTTCCAAACCGAAGGCCTTCGACACACCCCAACAAACCCTACGCTCTGCACTGACGTCCCAACATGTCACTCAGGTTTAGGGCTGGGGGTTTCGGGTGAGTCACTCTCCTCTCGGCATGGTCTGTGCGGATCCGCAAACAAGCTTCGGAGTAAATACTGCTTTGGCCATGTTTGGCCTCCTGGCTTCTCATGGCTTCTCTAAGGTAACACAAAACTAAGCTTCCTGCAGAAGGTTTTCAACAGGATGTGTACTTACAAACCCTCCTCTCAGTGATCTACCCAAAAATCTCGGGGCAATATAACCACAAGACACCCAGAAGTTCCTACATGCCTACCACTGAACCAGCTCTGACAGAAAGCCTCGGCCACTAAAGAGGCCGCAAAATTTCGGTATCGACAGTGTCAACCAGCACGACGCAGCAAACCGTAGTCTTTGAACCCGAAACCCTAAATCCTAAACCCATAATCCTAAATCTTCCAACCCGACACCCTAAACCCTACATCGCTAAACCCGAACCCCTTGAACTGTAAAACGCTGGCCTTCACGGTCTTTCGGCCCTTGCCCTCTTGCTCCAGGCGCGTGTACATCGCCTCGAACTCCTCCCCCCAAACGTCCATGAGACCTTTCCCTGTGGACTTGTCGAAGGCCTGGAGGGGCGATTTAGAAGAAGTTTTGTTCCGCGATGCCTACTCTCATTGTGGTAAAGAGCTCAATTACAGGGGACAGGCCAAGTGTAGTTCAGGAATTGATGTAGTGTCGAACATGTCTGAGAAGGTAGGTTTGCGTGTCTTTTGTGGGCAACAGTATGTAACTCTTCTGGAGGAACGACGGTCTGTTGCGTGTTGTAAGGCTAGCGGAATTCGAAGTTCTAGATTCTACACGTTGGGGTTACGGAGTTTCTGAGACGTTGTCGTACGTCGTATCCTCGATTACGCCTCCCTCGATACAAAATAGGCAGCTGTCAGCGACTAATGGGGGGAACCGCTTAAAGCTTTCAGCTGCGCCCGTCAGGCCGAATCCAAATCCGATGCCCCTAAGCCCCAAAGGCCCCTAGACCCCAACCCCCCAAAGACTCCTAAACCACAAAAGCCCCAAACCCCACTGCATCTTAACGTTGTAGAACTGGAGCCGCCCTGGCACAGGCAATGTCCAATATGGTCCTTATAGACAGCTCGCTAGCTAGACGCAGGCCTATAGATACATAGCTAGCTAGATAGATGGATAGAGAGACAAGAAGATAGGAAGATGGGAAGACAGATCGATAGATAAGTTGATAACAAGTCTGACAGATAGATAGCACCAGCTCCATCGCTTGCATCATCTTCACGAGCCATCCCCATCCGTGGTTCCCAAACGGTGCATGCTGCAAGCACGGTTTGGACTTCTCGCAGTCCCGCCGTCAGGTTGTGGACGATGTTCCGGAGTTGCGGCAGGATTTGCTGGATAGTGGAGCCCCCAGTGTCCCCACCGGCACTGCTGGCGGCCAGAAGGTGGCCTAGCTCCAGCGGCACATCCCGGTGCAGCAGCAGAAGACTGGAATTCCATTTCATTTTTGGGGACCGCTCCTGTCCGTGCTGTTGGAGGCGGAGGGCGAACCGCATCTCCTGCCCCACGCTGTCACCGAGCTGCAGACCCATCATGGCTTTCAACAGGTCGCGGGAAAGACCGAGGTTTTTCACCCGGTCCCTCCCATGACCGTCTGCTGGGGCGCTGTGCTCTCCCTGTCCCTCTCCCTGTCGCTGTCCCTGTCTCTTTCTCTTTGTCTTTCTCTTCCTCTCTCTCTCGCTCTTCTTCAGCAGGGCTTGGGCGGCCGCTTTCGGAAGGGCGTAAGAAATTCAGCGAGTCCCCCTGATTCGGCATGTTTTCTCTCGCTCTCTCTATCTCTCTCTGTCTCTCCTCGAAGCATGCGTTGGCGTTGTTGAAATCTTAAGCACCTTACTGTCAAAATCGCATCCTCTGGAAGCCCTAAAGCCCCCAACCCGAAACTCGGAACCCAGATCCTGTTTGCGCTTTCTGTTGTCCGAATTTCAGCATCCGTCACACTCTACGCGCAAGCTCAGTTACCTCGGTCTTTGTTTCTCTCTCTCTCTCTCTCTCTCTCTCTCTCTGTATATATATATATATGTATATATAGATAGATAGACGATATCCTCATGATAACCTAACCCCTACAACCTGTAACCCTACAGAAACCTGAGCATGCCCGTCACCCAGGCCTCGTTTGGGCAGAAGAGGGTCCAGTCCTGATTGTCCTTCCGAGGCACCACCACTATTTTGGATGGTTTGGGGACAAAACCCACTACTTTGGATGGTTTGGTGTCATAACCCACTATTTTGGATGGTTTCAGGGGATGTTATCACTCTGAAGGCAATGGCTCAAACTGTTGAAGCTGCTTTGACATTCACTGGAGTGATGCATTCCCACGGCCTCTGGCTACCCAGAGCTTGCTCTCAGGTGCTTGTGGACTCCGGTCTTTCGTTTCTGCGAGGCTACAACTTTCTTGCCCAAGATTGCATCGATCGTTTGGTCACAGGGTTTAGGTTGAGACCCAAACTTCATTATATGGCACATTTTATCCATGACCAGCAGATGCAACTCGGCAGGGGCGCTGAGTATACGCTTTCGCCGGCAATAGCATTGTGCGAGCAGAACGAGGATTTCATAGGGCGCCAATCGAGGGTCTCACTACGTGTAGCGGCGAGAACGTGCAGTTTGCGCACAGTGCAAAGGTATCTGGTGAAGGTCAGATCGCTTCTCGAGAAGATGTTTCCGGAGTGAAAAAGATTGCCATGTATGTGTTCCGATTGCAGCAGCAAGCACCGTGCAAGATTACGTTTTTTTAGCAGGAAAGCACGATTACCTTTTTTACGCTAAATTGCGTTTCTTGCTAAAGATTGCGTTTTTTCGCCTATAAAGCAACAGTGGCGGTTATTCTGGGGGGGCGGGTGGTCTAGGTAAGCCTTGAATCCTGAATTCAAATTCTAAACCCTGTAACCCTCGGGGTCATAGCCCACTATCTTGGTTGGTTCGGGGTCACAGGTATAGGTTTTTACCAAAAACCCCAAACAGCCGGAAAGTCGATCTGAGCCCTAAGTCTGCCACCTAAGCCTTATATGCTGCCCAAAGCCTACCAACCAATGAAACTTTTATGCGCGCATGTACGCATATTTACATATATATATATATATATATATATAAGGCTTAATGATGTTGAGAATAGTATTGAACTGTAATATGTAAGCATGTGTATATGCCATTACAGGTCATATTATATAGCACATTATATGGTATAGTGATATATCCTTCACAGATCGATATCCATAGATTTCACTGCAACTGGAAGGGCATGACAGAAGTTGGCATCTGGGACTGCCCCAAGCTCCTACCGTCAGCCGCTCCTTAACGCGCTTCATGAAGAGGTCTGGAATCCAGAGGCCGTAGAAAAGGTCACGGGCGCGCTGCTCCTCCTTGCCGTGGTTCCTGGCATGTGGCAGAAGTTCGGAAGCTTCTGAACAAACCCGAAACCCCCAACCCGAAACCGTACACCCTATACCGCTTTTAAAGCGTTTTAGGGTGTGACGTTATTCTGAATTTTGTCTGCATCCACCTTCAAATTTTGTTCGGAACAGAGGCTCAAACCAAACCGCGAGGCCTCGGGAAAGCGAGACCAGGGCAGCCCAACAGAGTTGCAACAAGAGCAAAGTACACATAACTTACCTTTGGTTAGTAGGGAATGGAGGAATGCAGTACAATCATAACTACCATTACTACCATTCCTCCATTCCCTACTAAACAAGGGTAAGATAAAGACTTCCTCGGCCCATCCCTGACCCAAGAGCAACCTAGGAATAAGAAGGGTGCCCTTTTGGGTTTAAAGGGGCTTCGAAGGGAACCTGAACCCTGAAACAGGGAATAAGGGCTTACCCTGGGCCCTATAGGTATGGCAAAATCATCTCATACTGATGCTAAGGGAACCTGAACCCTGAAAACGGGAATAAGGGCTTACTATGGGTCCTAGGTATGACAACATCATCTTGAACTGATGCTGACGCACACAAGAAGACGCAAAAGCAGCCCTAAAGCCCCACTGCTGAGCTCCGCAGAGTTTTAAAGCCAGGAAGCTTTCGAAGCTCAAGGAAGTCCATGACGTCCGCGTGCCAGGGCTCCAGGTACATGGCGAAAGAGCCTTTCCTCAGTGACTGTTTACGACTAGTCATTAGCAACCTCTGGGATTTCGCAGGGTTCTTGTATTTAAGAATACGATGAGGACAAAGGGTTGCACCCAAAACTGAGGATGACATTCTCAAGTTTAGGAGTTTGAGACACAAGGGGTTCCTAAGCTCCGAGTTTAGGGCTAAGCCCGCATCAAAGAGCTTCGTGCTTCGTCATGCAATCGCTTTGCTGCTTTTTGGAGTTTCGGGATCACTTGGAGGTTCATGGGTAGTTATAAGTGGGATTTTAAGTAGGATAACTATACTTATATAACTCATGTTAGGGGACTTTTGACCCTACTTATAACTACCCATGAACCTCCAAGTAACCCTAAACCCTAAACCCTGCACCAAACCCCCAGTCAACCTTGCAAGGGCTTCGCGTGTGTCGTCACCAGTTTTTGCCCTCAAGGGCCTACATACGCATTCGGACGTTTGGGGGCTTAGGGTTTCGGGGTTTAGGGGCTTCGGGGTTTCGGGGTTTTGGGGTTTTGTGGTTGTAGGGGTTAATTAACCCGAAACCCGGCCTCAAATCCAAATCCAAGCAAGCTGCCTCTTCCCTCCGCCCTGGTCCACATACCGCGCCGTCTCGTTGAAGTTCCTGTAGGGTTTAGGGTTTAGGGTTTCCTGCTCTTGGTCTCTCGGGCGGGTCCCTGGGTCTTCAAAACACCTGAAGCTCGCTCTCACGCTAGCAAATCTCCGACCAAAGACCCCGACTCGCCCTGAACCCCTCCCGGCACTCTGTTGGGCAACGCACTGACAATCATCAAGAACCGAAGCGGAATCATGCACAGGTCTAGCCAAGTGTTGGGCCGTGTCTCGCAAGCTCTTTCCAGCTTAGCCAAACTAGGAGCTAGAGGAAACGACACCACTCCCTACAAAACCTGGCAGAAACTCTATGAACACACTGCATATAGAATCCGACAGACCCCATGCAACATTATGAACAGGTGCAGCCATCTACTTAGGTATCCTATCCTTGTCCTTGAACTTGGCACGTAAGGCTCCCCAAGCGGCCCTAAACCCTAACCCCTAGACCGTAAACCCTAGACTCTAAACCACTAAACTAAACCCCTAAGCCTCAAACACTTAAACCCTAAGCCCTGAATCCCAAGTTTACAGAGACCCGAAACCCGAAGTCGTTAAAACAGAAGCCTTCACTGTTAGAAAGGGTCTTATATACTGTATGAAGGCTTTTTAGGGTTTCATGTACAGGCCTTAACGATTGGATTAGGGTTTCATAAGAAGGGCTTTATGAGCTGTTTTGCAAGTTAATTACGCTCCCTTTAGTAGAACAGAATGCTGCGCTGTAGCACGGTATGGTTGCATCACAAACAGGAACCACCCCTCATACACAACTGAAGAGAGCTCTTTCAAAATCCCGAAAACGTAAACCCTAAATCCCCTACCGTAACCCTGAAGAACCTACTTTTTTGAGGACTTATATATAAGGAAAGCAACATAGGGAGCCCTAAAAAGGTAGGTTATTCAGGGTTAAGGTATACCCCAAACCCTGAGTGGGGGGGGACCTGAGCATGGGAACAAGGCCATTGCTGTGGCCGTTGGTGCCACGGATGTAGGAGCCACTGGCCCGGATGTTGGAGATCGCCACGCCTTAGGGTTTGGGGGTTTAGGGTATAGGGCTTCAGGGCTTTAGGGTATAGGGCTTTAGGGGTTTAGGGTTTACGGCTTATGTTTGTCGTTCGCTTTTTCTCGCAGGTTGTTTGTTTCACAGCTTGGGGAGGAGGTCTGGTCTGCGTCTAAGATGCTTCGAGGGTTCAAAGTTTTCAGTTTAGTTTAGGGCTTAGGGTCAAGGGCCGTACTCTGCGTCGGGCTTGGGCAGCTTCTTGGCGAAGGATATCGGTCATCTCTGGGAACCCAAGGTCTCTAAACCTAAACCTTAGAAGCTGCCCCCACCCTGTACTAGTGACTTCAAGGATTATATTAGGGCCCCATTATATTCCTATTATACCACTATATACTAACCTAAACCCTTCAACCCCAAATCCTATACGCCCTAATCCCCAGACTCTAAGCCCTAAAGCAGATATGAGTCGAGACTCTGGGGTGACAACGAAGCCTAAACCGTGGATACTGCCCCCATACAGTAACAGTCTATAATAGAGTTACTATTAAGGGCCTAATATATCTATATTATGAATATTATCCAACTGTTGCTGAGTGGGGGCAGTATCCAACCTAAACCCTAAACCCACAAAGTGACCGCCATCCGAATGGTAATGGTAGATCGAAGCACTGCTATCGTCTAGCAATGGCTGAAGTCCGAAGAAACACCTACTCCGCCAACACCCAAGGAAAAAAGGCAGCACAACACATCGCACCACCACTCAACTTCAAAGCACCCAAATTACTTACAAGTTGGGTATCGGAGAACAAGTGAGAGTCTCGTTGAACGGTCGCAGTGAGCCGTCGATGGCCGTCCCGAAACACAGACGCCGGAAGTGTGAAAGCAAGAAAAGCAGAACACCAGCCCTTCGAGCCCGAAATTGGTGAAATCATGACGTACCGAACCCAAAGCCGCTAGGAGTGAGGTTCATGGGGTTTCGGGCTGATTGTACGGTTTGAGGCTGGGGCCGAAGTTCTCTAAACCCAAAACTTTAAACCCCTTCCCCCTTCCCCACCCCACAACCCCAAATCCGGACCCAAACCCCCCAGAACCCCCAAAACTGAAACGTAACGCCAAGACCGAAACCCGAAACCCTAAACCCTAAACCCTATACCCTATAAACCCTAAACCTGAGATCCTTAATCCTAAACCCTAAACCCGAAACCCTGAACCCTAAAGCCACCCGAAACTGAGGACCGAGACAAGGTGCCAATTCCCCCGGCGGACTTGGAGATCAAGGCACACTGCTTCCTCGGAGCTTTCGGTTTAGGGTTTAGGGCGTTTAGGGTTTAGGGTTTAGCGCTTAGGGTTTATAGGGTTTAGGGTTTTTAGGGTTCAGGGTTTAGGATTCAGGGTTTAGGGTTTAGGATTAAGGATCTCAGGTTTAGGGTTTATAGGTTATAGGGTTTAGGGTTTAGAGGGTTAAGGGTTTAGGGTTTAGGGGTTTAGGGTTTCATCGGGACTTGGGGTCCAAAAGCCCAGATGAGCGGGCGTTGGAAGCCCTGGATGGTTGAAAGTCTACCAACGACCCTAAACCCTAAATCGCTAAACCCTCAACCAGCCAAGCTTCAGAGTGTCGTAGATGCCCTCGATGCTATCACCCTGCATCTTCAAGAGGAAGCAAGACGACATCTGCGGCGATGGTGTGCCAGCATTGAACCTGATCTGGAATCTGTGGGCCATATAGCGCCCTCAACCCGACCTTCAAGGAAACAACAGCAACTGCCGCAACAACAACAGCAGCAGCACCACCACCACCGACAACAACAGCAAACACAAACACAAGCCTGAGAGCATAACAATGTTAGTAAGCGACCTGCATCTGATTGAACCCTGCATCCCTGCATCCCCCAATCATGCAGTGAGCTTTGCTGGCTCACACGACCACCCCCAACAGGGTTTCCAAAAGACCCACCCTCTTTAAGGCGATCTTTCAAGGAGGGACCACAAGCACTGTCTTTGCTACTGTTCTTGTTTGCTACTGGGTTTAGCAGTACTGCCGGTCTTTAAGTATGCGGAGTCCTTAGAAAGAAAAACACACATTTTACCTCCGAGCGAAATCGTCGAAGCTTGGGACAGCAGGAGAAATACGGATAACAGGTTCGGATTGACATTGACTCAATGTTACGCGCACGAGGTTTTGGTAGCGGGACCCGAAGTCTATGGGCCTGACCGTCCGACAATAAAGCGGCGTAGAGGTTTAGGATTACACAGGTTACACAGTTTCGGGAGGGTTAAGAGAACTACGGCGCTTAATATAGGGGCCTTAACAAGAGGAATAAGGTAGTTTTTGGAGTCTGTTATAAAATAGCTATATTGAGGAACCCCCGAAATAGTTGTGGCAATTATTTAGGCTCGCGCCCAGGGACAGTGTCGGAGTGGCGTGAGTAAAGAACTTGCGGGACATAAGGTCGTAGGTCTCCAGAGCAGCCTGCTCTCTGGGAAGTTTTAGGGTTCAGGGTTTAGGGGTTTAAATAGGGTTTAGGTGTTTAGAGGTTTAGGGTGAAGCTTTAATGGTTTTACGAGTACAGCGTTTAATCAAAGGTTAGTTCTGTGGTTGGGGAAAGTTTAGCCAGGAAGGCAGGGCAAGGGGGAGGTGAGGACAGAGGTCTGAGCAAGTGTGGGCTCCGCTACTCATCTACCAGTTAAATTCTCTGGCGGGAGTCTAGAGGATTCTGCAGGTTCGTACGGTTGATGGTATAAATCCTGCATGACCCATAATAAGAAATATACCATTATTCCATAGTTTTGGGTCCTTAAGGTAATGCAGGATTTCTACCATCAACAGTATTACACTCAACCTAAACCCTGTAAACCCCTAGAACCTCTATTTGAGAGCCCTCAAGCATGAAGCCAAGGATCCCAACCCTAACACCTTACGAAGCCATAAAACCAGACTCCTACAAAACCTTGGGGACAGAATCAAACCTTCAGAAGCAACATCTTCATGCCATGCAGGCCCGAACGCGTCGATCCCCTGTGCTTCCTTCTTGTGATGTGTGGACTGCAATTAACTGTTGTGTTCACCGAAGTAATCGGTTTCTCACTGGCATGGCAGGCTTCCCGATGAATCCTAATAATCTTCATGTCCTCACACCCCGCCGAAAGCACTAGAGGCGACTAGAGGCAACCCGGAATCGCGGAACTTCAGCTAGAACTCCGGAAACTAGCCATACTACACCGAAACCAGTACGCCTCAACCTCAGATCCCAACCCCTGAAACTAACACCGTAAGCCCAACAGCCTCAAACTCACAAGATGAAACTCCTGCCGTGATGCCTGCAGGTCTCCACAGTGAATTCCACAGGCGGCACGCATAATGAGATGCTGCGGACGCTCCACGATCTTGTTGTGGACCCTGTCCGTCTCAACTTCTGAAATATTGCGGGGCTAGAGGTTCAGGGGCATAGGGCTTACGGACTTAAGAGTTGAGGGGTTGTGGGGTTTAGGTTCAGGATTCAGAATGTCTCAGCATGTAGGCTTGAGTTTTGTGCAGACGGAGTACATTGAGTCTGGCATGGGTGAATGATGCAAATGCAAACGTTGCCCTTCGGGATATTCGGACCCGTTGTGCACGGAGACTGGGATACCCCGACGACAAGAAGGCAGGCTCACGGTGCAGAAGTGCTCGGGATGGAGGGTCTAGGCTTTTTACCATCGCCAGCCCATCCAAGATATTGATAATGGCCTTTGCGGCTCGAGGTTCAACTGCTTCTCCTAAGTACGAGTGTGACCTCCAAATCGGAAGCCATTTCTCAGCTTCCTGATGCCGCTAAAAACCCAACACCCCTAAATCCTAACCCCTAAAACTTGAAGACAACCTAGGGCTTTCTCCCACCTCAGCAGGTATGACTTCTCCAGGGTCTTGAAACCGAAGTAATCCTCGGAAGGGCGCTTCAACCAGGGGCTTAGGGTCAGAATGGCTCAAAGTGCAAGCCCCCACCCTACTGTGTGTGTGTGTGTGTGATGGGGTGTGGTGTTCTTGATGTTGGCGATAATTGTACTGCAACGGTTACTCTGCCCGAGACGCGTAGCGGTAGCAGCAGCAGGAGCAGCAGCAGCAGCAGCTGCAGCCGCCAAGTAGAATAAGACGCAGAAGTGGAAGTAGAAGCAATAGCAGTAGCAGTAGCAGTAGCAGTAGTAGTAGTAGCAGTAGTAGTAGTAGTAGTAGTCGTAGTCGTAGTCGTAGTCGTAGTCGTAGTCGTATTAGTAACTAGTAGTAGTAGTAGTAGTAGTAGTAGTAGTAGTAGTAGTAGTAGTAGTAGTAGTAGTAGTAGTAGTAGTAGTAGTAGTAGTAGTGGTAGTAGTAGTAGTAGTAGTAGTAGTAGTAGTCGCAAGGAGCACGAGCAGTCGTCGCCGTCATCGTCGCAGTTTTAGTCAGTCGCCTTTGTAGGTGCAGGAGTAGGAGTAGGAGTCGCAGGACTATGGCATTTTCAGCACATCTGAACACTGAACACTGATGCTACATCTGTATTGGCATATTGGCACACCCGACACCTTAAACTTTAAAGTGTGGGCACTTATTTATTGCAACTGTAACCATGTTGACAAAAAGTCTCCCTATCAGCCGGAGAGGGAACTGCTCTCGCCGTCACAGCTGGAGCACGCAACAGAAAAGCACAGGGTACAGAAGGACATAGGGTGGAGTTTAAGGCCTTTTACTTGGAGGTTCATGGGTAGTTATAAGTGGGGTTGTAAGTAGGGTAACCATACGTATAACTCGTATTAGGGGACTTATAACCCTACTTACAACTACCCATGAACCTCCAAGTAGGGCTGCCATAGACAGACCTCAGCCCCAAATTCCTCTGTCCTGTGAGTTTATGCGCATGATGCTGTGGCCAATCTGCTCCTCCGACCCTATACGCCGAAGAATTCCTCCAGGTACTGTAATGAGTCTGTGCATACTCAATTGAACAGCAATACTGCTTCGCACCCAAGCCCCTAAAGCTCAGCACCGTAGCAGCCGAATGCCTCGACAAGGCCAAAGCAAAAGCCTAAACCCGACGCTCAACCCGAGCTATCCCAGCTCCAACCCAAACAACTCCAGCTTCAAATAGTTTCTTTGTAAAAAATGGAATGGCGGTGTAATCACGAGAGAGAGAGAGAGAGAGAGAGAGAGAGTGAGGTAGATAGATGACCGACAGACAGACAGACGGACAGACAGACAGATAGACAGAGAGATAGATAGATAGGCAGACAGATGGCTAGAACGATCGATTGTGAGATCTGAGATAGATAGATAGATAGACATAGGTAGACAGACAGACAGATAGAGTATTGAATGAATCTCTCTCTCTCTCTCTCTCTCTCTCTATCTGTATATGTATATATATATATATAAATGTATGTTCAACAATACATACAAGTATGCAAATGCACTGCTTTACATATAATGAAACCATCCCGAAGCATTTCTTCTTGCGAGGCTCATACCCGAGGTCGCGCTTATAGTCAATGGCCTGGTCCAGAGCCTCTGCGTTCCTGAACATAGGCTAGTGCTCAAGCAAACACACGCACACACGCACACCCATACGTACATTTGTATATACTTGAATATACATATGTCATGTGTGTATATATGTGTATACATGTGTATATACATATATATATATATATATGTGTGTATAGATATAGGCACATTTACTAACTACTCTACTTGTTCGTGTATATCTGTGACAGGACATTAAACACAAATATTGTGTACATATCACGTACATACATGCTGAATGCATAGGTACACACATACATACAAACATACATACATAAAAAAAACGTGTGTACACGCACGCACATATACATATGTACACCTATGTCTGTATAAACTGCATATGTATGTAATATATTCTGTGTATACATTTATTCATACAGCATACATATATATATATATATATATACATACATATATATATATATATGCACGTATGTGCATGGGGCATATATGTACGTTTTCATTCAGGGTTTAGGGCTCCAGCTTATGACTCATGTATCTGGACCTAAACTGTTGTTGGTAGAAGCTGAAGAAGCTTTCGGGGGGAAAGCTCCTGCGCTCGTGCCTCCAGGGCATCATAGAACCCTTTATGACCCTCTGCAAGAACTCCGTTCTAGACCCCAATAGTAGCCTTTGCAGGAACCCTAGCGTACCCTTTTTGGGAGCCCTTTTATAGAACCCTATAGCACCCTTTAAGGGAACCCTATTACAAACTTAAGGCACGCTAACACTTACCATGTCGGGGCCCCAAAAAACCTACAGCTTCAGGGCTCCAGATCATGCTATGATTCCGTAAAATGCATCCTTTTGAACACGTAGGTTGTTTGAGGTTATTTGGGGTTCAGGACATCCGTCATGAACTTCTCGTTGTGAACCCTACTCTGAGAATGTCTCCGGGGGTCGCTGCGATGAACTCCCACACGTCCTGGGCGAGAAGAGACGCAGACCTGCCCTGCAGATCGCGGTACCTTGGCTGTTGGGTTTCTGGCTGGAAGAGCATGAGCTTTAAGGCCTCAGGGTTTAGGAGTTAAGCTAAGGTTTGACAGGTTTAGGGGTCAGCATTTAATTACGATTTAAGGCTTTAACACAAATACAGATTCGGAGGTCAGCTTCAACGTTTCATGTTTCTCTGGAGATAAAGCTTATGGGATTAGACTTTCAGGTTCTACGTTCTCAGCATTTTTTGAATTCCGGAATTGGTTGTGTTGGCCGTTTGACACTGCCTGTACTCCGAGATGGGAGCCCTAAACCCTAAACCTGCTTGTTTGGCAAACCAGGTGTCAGCCTCGGCGGCTTGCATTCCAGGACCTCCCAAGGGCCTTTTGATGGAGCCCTTATGGTCCTCAATAGTGGGTATTTAGTAGGGTATTATAGAGGGTAGTTGGGGGGTCTAGGCTGAGGTTCGGGTTGAGGCTCTGGCATTTAGGGGTCATATCTCTCAGACTCTCAGAAGCCAGGTTCGAGCTTGCCATCTGCCACTCTGACCCTAGACCTAGACCCCAAAGACTTACCCTGCTACCGTAACTGCGTGCTTCTGTATGGGAGTTCCCAAATGCTTGCCCATCAGCTAGGGTTATGCCCCACTGCATGGTTGGTGCTGCAAGGTCAGGTTGAGGAATGCAGCGTCAGCGCACGATGGGTGAAACTCTTCACTAAAAGCGGAGTTTAAGTGAGGTCACCTTCCCTAAGCCCTATAAACCGTGGTGAAGCTATGCAGTTGTCCCTGCTTCAGGAGAGTAGGGGCCGGAAGGCATAAAACGAAAAATCACGCTGCAGACCGGCACTGAATGCGACCGTGTAGTAATGTGGTACAAGGTCCAGGATGGTCTAGGTCTAGGTTTAGGGTCGTAGGGGTTTATGTAGGGGCGTAGGGATTGAAGTTTCAGCTTCAGGGGCTTATGGTTTGCAGTATGACATGGCGGCTTTGCCACCACTACACGAAATGCCGGCGAGAGGCTCATGCAAGATCTTGCAAGTTTCGTAGAACGAGGCCGAGGTGTTCTTATGCCTCAAGCAACCCATCTCGCATAAGCCACAGCTTTGTTGAGGATCCAGGTATCTTAACTGAACCGGCAGCCACCTTTAGAGCAGTTGACAACTCCGACTACTCGCTGCACACTCTAAATGTTTTGAAACTCTCCAGCTGTAAAGCCGGAAAGCCAACCCTGAACCCCTACATCCGACACACGTCTAAGCCTTAACCTGACCCCAGAATGCAAAGAATGATAACTAAATCTCGAAACACTCTACGCCCTCAATCGCTTCTTGCTCCATGTATCTGCGCAAAAGAAACGCGGCCAGACGCACCAGTAACTTTACCGGCCCCATATCGTCCTAACGCACGTATACATAAGTCGTCATCGAAAACATCAAAAACCCGAGTCGGGTTTAGGAGGTTCAGGGTGTGGTGTTTGTAGGGCTTGGGATTAAAGGGTAGTTTGGGGCTCATGGAGTTTGTGATGCTTCGTGTTTCTTCCCAATATGTTCGTCGGGAGCATAATGTGAACCATCGATATGGGTGGTTGTCAAAATTATGGTCCCTTTTTGGGAACCCTGAGTACTCGGTGCCCTACTATATTACGGACCCCAAAAGGGACTGTAATTTCGACAACCACCCTATGCAAACCTACTTCCGAAGATGCCCATCCCACAAGCGCGGTTTAGGGTTTAGGGTCTCTGTGTGTATGTCTGGAGGCTGTAGAAACCAGACCTAAGGAAAATTTGGCAGCAACCTTGTCGAGCCTTTTTCGAACCCGATAATCCTTACCCAGAAATCTTGCAGAACCCTGTTGGAAAACTTCCTAACCCCTGTAAAGCCTAACCCAAA